TATAAAAAATATCCGAGTTTCGCGACAAGTGCCCTCTTAAGAAAAAAAAAAAATAATAATAATCAACCCGAGGCACAAAGGCCTCGCACTCACATAGAGCTTATCCGTGGCACATCGCGACGTAAAGGGGACTCGAGAAGGGGAGACTCGCGGGAGCCAAAAGAAGGGCCCCACTACGAGCCACCCACAGCCGGCACCACTCGCACAATGTCTCCTCTATGTCCGAGCATCACTTCTTACGCGTTGCGCGGCTCCTCAATCTCGCCTTCAGTGCCTCACCCCCTTTTTGCCGTCCCACATCAGTCAGCGAGCTTTTCGCGGGTGATATTAATTAAGCGCGTCTGCGCACGCACAAGTGGTCGCGGAAGGCGAGACGCGGAAAAAGAAAATAAGGTCGAGGAGCCGCCATCAACGGGAAAAAAGCGCGAAAGCGCGGAAGAGATGGTGTGCGAGCTCGCACCCCCCCGTTATAGTACACGCGATGCATGCGCAAGATTAATGCGCACACGGAGGTATGGTAGCCGCGCCGATTCGAGATTACCATCATCCGATGTTGGTCGTTGTTTTTGCTGTTCCGCCCCCTGATCCTCCTCTTTTCCCACAACCATGTAAAGTCATTTTTTTGTTTTTTGTTTCAAGTGCAACTCTATTAATCCAAGGGAAAGGCTGCGGTTTTGCAAATATTGATTTTAATTTCACGTAACCGAGTGTTCATGTTTTAACGATCTCCCGATTGCCGATCGATCATTTCCGAATTGAAAGAAAAAACAAAATCGACTATACGTCCGGCGTTTATGATCATGAATAATTCAAGCTCCGTGAATCCGGCGCGTAAAGATCGGGACTTCCGGTAGTACACGAATACACCAAGATTATCGTTATCATCGGCCGAGATGTATACACATGTAGTAGGAGTTACGCGAGTGGGCGTGAAAAATTCACAAGACAATCGACGAGTTGATTTGCATGAATAATTATATATATTATAAATATGTAGCATGTACGAAAGAGAGAAGTACATCTGTCTAATACATTATCGAAAAGTGTAAACAGAGCGACTAGACTCTCGCGCCAAGTGCTAATCTCTTCAGCGTCATGAATGACAAAGGCGCGTGTGCATAATTAACGAGCGAGCGAGGCGTCGAATGGAAATAATGAAGTCATCGGACGAATTGTTCGAGCCGCGATGCGTATGTATGTGATTGAGCTGTGTGCATATGTATAGAGAAAGGGAAGGTCGTGAAAGAGTACGAGGAGGAGGAGGCGCAGAAACGCGGCGGAGGAGACGTAAATCACTGGAGCATCGATAACCGTCGGCAGAAGAGGGCTGCACGCGAATCTCTCGCTCTGGCTCGTTAATAATTGATACAATTAACGGCCGTCTATATTAAAACGAGCTCGAGCTGTATATCACACGCTTCGCGTAATAGAAGCTCTCGAGTTGTCTTTGTCTTTTTGGAGGGGGAAAAAAAAAATTTTTTTTTGATAAATGTCTTCTCGGTATATTGATACGTACATCGCGTACGGCTGTAATTTGATATTCAGATTTCCAAACGCGTTTTTCCAATTAATTCGCGCGTCTTTCGAGGTAAATACAATTTTTACAGTGTATAGAGTCGACACGCGATGGTATAGGGTTCAACATTAACGCGCGTTGTAAAAGTGCTTGAGAATTTATGGAAAAAAAAGAAGAAGAAATAAAAGAAAGAAACTCAAACAAAGCAAACAAAAGAATTCAGAAAATAGCATCCACCGATGGTATGTGCGTCGTTGGCCAAGAAAATGCCGAAGAAGCAGCAATCATTAATATTCAATGATTAGGCTACGTGGCGTACCGATTGTTCTTCGAGTATAGAATCAGGAATACCGAAACGCAAGATTGCCCGTAGGTACGGGCCATTAAATACTTATCCGTACTTTTTTTTTCTCCTCGACCAACAGATTCCCATCGCGGTGTTTACGGAATGTCCCAAGCGAGAGTACGGCTAACTTTTACGAAAAAAAAAAAAAAAAAAAAAACTTTGTACACAAAATTTAAACGAAACGCCGGTAGGATCCTTCGTTATCCGCGAGTAAACCGAATCACAAATTAGCCAAAGGAGCTTTCGTCGGGGGTGTTGGTCGATAATTACATTCCGTTCACCTATACTCCTGTACAACCAAAATCCATAAATCCCCGAGGACTCGAGTAGGTAAACAACAGAGAGCAGCCCCGAGGCACGAAAAACCGACAACCCGAAGAGTAATGGGGTACGAGCGGAACGGTAAATTAGATATTATCGAGGAAATTTTTTTGTTCCTCCCCCTATACGCCCGACCCCGAACCGACAGAAGCGCCGATAGGGATTTGACTCCCGAAATCCGCGACCTGAGAAAAGCCCTTCCAACCAGTGTTTGTTCGCACATTGTGTATATACATAAACCTATCCACGTCTACGGTAAACGCAGTGCGAGCAAAGCGACCCTCGCTTAGCGACCCCTCGACGCACACCGACGACAATATTTAAATATCACCCTCTCCTCCCCCACTTTTCATTTCCACCAGCCTCCGCTCCCGGGACCATTTTTCGCGAGAGCTGTGCCGTGCAAATTTAACTCGAGCCTCGTGTACATTGGGTGGTAAGAAGGGGGATTTGCTAAATTGATTTTTACGTAGAGGAGGAGGGATTAAGAAAAAGCTCGGGGAGGATGGGGTTTCAGAAGCGAGAAACGTGTTTGCTGGTTGATTGTGTTCGAACGATTCATCGGAGAAAATTCGCAAAACCCTTGCCAGGTCCGAAATTTAAAAGCCAGAGGGTGAGAGGGAGGGAAGCCACGTGAAAAGAAGAGCCAGCATCGAGACGATAATATAGCCTATATACATTCTGCAGTAAAGAAAGAACGAGAGAGAGGAGGGGAGCTTTGCGACGAGGACACGGGCTATCAAACCTCGGGCGCATTCACTCACGCTGCCGAGCGTCTTAATAGCCTGAGATTTATGGCCACCGCGGATGACTAGCTCTCACGCATACACCCGCGCGGGGGACGACGACAGCCAGCACAGCCACAAACGGCAGTCCCATAACCTCGTGCCCACTGTGCTCCGTGAGCACCTTGGCGCGTCCGAGGAGTATATAGTCGCCTTGCACGCTGGCCATCAGCGCAGGAGACAGAAATGCGGAATGGCCGAGAGAGGGAACTTTAATGCCCGCGCGCCCAACCCTTTGAAGCGCGTACGTATAATGGTCGCTGTGTGCCAACGTTATTTTTGCGCTTGCCCTAATGCTCCTTCCCTTTTTGTTTGCTCTGTGTTGCTTATTTGCGAGCTTATGGATGGGAATTGCATATATACGTCTCTGCCGTCTCGCCACTGTGAGGTTACACTGTCGAGTATATTTCGAAAATTTTTTCAACCAA